CACACATATATATATAGATATATATGTATTTTGTTTGGATTTCGCCTACTCGACAATAGCAGCAGCAGCAGCAACCCGAGAGTGTGTGTGTGTGTGTATGTGTATGTGGGTGTGGGTGTGGGTGTGTGTTCAGGTTTAGCGGGGGGTACCTTTGTGTTTGTCGTCTCTGTGTGAAAATATTTCTATGTCCTTTAATAAAAATGATAAGTCACAGCCGGGAATAACAGAAATTGTGAGCACGGTGAGCTGCTTTCGGTATGTCGGGTGTGCATGGAGTGGGTTCTATTGTAATGCTAAAACTCGGCAAGGCTAACATACACGAGTGATTTAATTAAACGACATACTCTTACATACACACACATACACACACACACACACATCTAACACATGTTGTTTTTTTTTGTGCAATTGTGAATTTGTGCTCGAAAAATACCAAAACTCTACACGATGCACATTGCATTGGTTTTAGAATTCAATTATATTGCATCAAGCTGAGCGTTGATATGCACAAAGATTTGATACACAAAAATGTTGTCAACAGAAATAAATGCATGGCACAACACATCAAAGTCCCCCCATGCCAACAGAAGCACATCATGCATCATGCGCCGTTATGGATTGCTTTAATTGCCCGAACCCACATGGATTTTAGTCCATTCGGTGGAATTCTAGAAATTACGACTGCCAAAGGATTCTCAATGTTACTGTTTTAAATCAAATCAATTGTCCAAAAATCAAATGAACCGAACAAACCAGACGGACACTTTCAAATATCAAATTTGTAAACGGAGATCAAAGCACGAGAGAAAAAAAATTATAGACAGGAAACTGGTTCAACTTTCCGAGTTAAACAAGCGTGATGCCCCGTAGCAAGCCCCGAAGAGCATTTCCAGTGGAAAACAGCTAGAAGTGTCTCACCGAGTGCATGGGAAAGTAAATTTTAATGGGAGCATCTTTTTTGTACAATCCAAAGTCTGCCAATCCGATTTCGCATTCCTGCAAAGAAAAACCAACCCAAATCGTTTCACATGTCACTTCAATCGATCGTTTGCACATATATTTCTGTGTTTTTCTGCTCGTTCCTTTTTGCCACACTGGCGAAATGGGAAAATGTGGCAACGAGTTGTTAACTTAGCCGTCGCTCATCGCCTGCTCGTTTATATATGCCGGCCTGCGTAATCCTAATGAACGTCCTGTCCCTCGGCTGTTGCTGTATGCTGTATGCTGTATATCCTTACGGCATAATTGCTATATAGCACACTTTTTCTCCGGCTTAAGGCTCAAGGCTGAAGGCCTTAGGCAAAGGGTGCCCAGTGCTCTGTCCCCATTGGCATGCCAGTTCAGCGACTTTTACGCGTCATTGCCGAGGGTGTTGCCACAGCGCGTAGCCATCCATCCATTGGATGCCGATTCCACACCCGATGCCTTAGCTGACTGTGATGCCATGCAAAGGCTCGTTCATCTTCTCTTTAATTGAACGCACACAGCTCTCGAACGCATTCGCTCTCTTGCTGATCTGTCTGTCAACTCGACTGTCAACTCGCTTAACTAGTTTATGGACATGCTGAATACTAAACAACAAACGAGACAAACCAATCAAAGGCAATATGGTTTATATCTAAGTCCTACTCTGTTCATAATTAAAAAAAAAATTTTCTCATAGTTCTTAAAAATTTATTTGCGGAGCCTCTAAAATTTTTGCTTTCAACTTTTTCTTGCCTTGGACTCACCATCAATATTATAATATATTCTATTGTATGTACCATAATTACATTATTTTATAGGTAGTTCCCTATTTCAAATAGGGAGTATGAAAGTTAATACAAACTTCCTCAATAGTTTTCTTCGTATCTTGTTTGTTTCAAACTACTTGACTTAACTGTACAGTCTGCACTATCAGCTATATTAGTGCTTATGTGGCGTATTGCGTATACGCGCTGCTTACACTAAACGGCCAAGCGCAGTCTGTCTGACTTATAGCATGTTTGTTATTTATAGAGGGCTCGTTTAGTTTTAGCTTTAATCAGAAAATACATAAATTGTGTGTTGCTTTTCGCAATCGGAATGCCAGAATGCCAACTAGTTATCTTTGCTAAATGCTCAATGTTAAATTAAACATAATTTTGAGGCGCATTTAAGCGAGCGACTAAAGATGATAAATGGTCCCCGGCTGACTCTGGCAACAATACGGTTCAGAAAAAAGCCAATAACGCCAGAGACCCACCGGCACAACCAAACCCACCGAAGAGCAGCTACAACAAAAACATTGAGACAGCAATCAGCAGCCGCGCGGGTGGCTGTGGCGCCCCAGATAATGCGTATTGCCGAACGGCGTGTCACTCAGTCAGCCAGTCAAACAGCCAGTCAGTCAGTCGAACAAATTGAGCCACAGGATGGATTCATCCAGCGCAGACCCAGCTCGTCAGTCACTCAGGAAGAGTGCGTTTACTAAAGGAAGACGCTTGTAAAACTAACGATAAGCGTCATGTAATTTGTGATACGAGCGTTTACGGTCCTAGGTGTTTTTGTTTGCGTGTGTGTGTGTGTGTGTGTGTGTGCGCGTAAACAAGCTCACATTATGAGCCAGCAAATTGATTTATTGTAGTTTATTTTACATATAGGCAAAAAGGTGCCCTCCATCCGAAAATAGGCTCAGAGCGGTGACCTTTTTGGTCAATAGACTTGAAAAAAACAATTTTTTATTGCTCAATTCTCTTCGCTGCCAAAAGATACATCATCTATTAGCTATACGAATGCATACCGACAACACTGTTATTCAATATGGCTCTAAATCGGCTAACTGCCAAATTTATTGATTAGCATGCTACAACTTAATTAACTCTCTACGTGCTCGCGTGCTGTATGGCCATGAATTATTCACTTTCCAGCACTAGAAAAAAACCAATTACAATTTTATTAATCAACTCTCATTTTGGGTGGCTTTTCATGTTTTTAATTTACAAAATATTATTAAATTACATAATTAGCAACTATTTAGTTTGCATTGCTCCGCCGCTTATGGCCGCTTATGTTAATGCAATAAATTTGTGTGTTATTGTAGAAAATTAATTTAATGTCGAGGTGACAATAATTTGAGGTGTTTCAATTGTGCGGCAGGCACTTTTGGCCATCCGAGGTTGTCAATTTTGGGCATTGCATTTTTGGCATGGATTGCACAAGCGCAGTTTCTTACGCTTAACGAAAGGTTCGCTAAATAAATATTGCGGTTTTATACCCTGAACCCATTGAAAATCGGCTAAAAAGGTATAATGTACTTGTGCAAATGTATGTTACTGGCAGAAGGCAGCATCTTAGATTCCATTTAGTATTTTTTCACAAATCTCTTAGGGTTTTAGAGCTAGAGTCACCAAACTTGACATGTAGCTTCTGAAATAGTATATAGATCAATATATAGATCTTTCATTTTATAGCTGTCGCCACCCCTTCGTCAACCTCAATTAAAATTTTTATTGCTTCTAAAGCAAACGAGCTCGTAGCACGAGCTGCATTTGTTTACTAATATGTTAATATATGACTTTTGCGAATTAATTGAATTATTAATCCACAAATGCTTAGCAATTAAAACAGGCAATTCAAAGCTCGCTATTATACTTTCCTCTTGCCGTTTTATTCTTAACTTTCGATGCAACATTCTATTCAGAATTTACTGACTAAACTAATATTTTATGCTTAAAAGACATCAAAGTACAATGAATACTACAAGCTAGTCAGCCAAGACAATACTAAAAGTAAGAGAACATAAGAGAAACTATAATAATAAATAGTGCGATATCTCCGACTTCGTAAAATCTTTCCGTCATCTGATCGCTCGTTTGTTCTGAGTTGCCGATCTTAGTATTTTGTTAAATAACGAACGAAAAATAATTATAATTAATTAGTGTCTTATATGTAAGTTGTTTATTTTGATGCATAATGACATTTTAGTTTTTAAGTTCTCTATTCTTATGTATTAAGCACTTGGATTGATCGATCAAAGGTTATTAAATAAATAAATAAATAAATTCAACGGATCGCTCATCTCCATGAAATGCACTTTCTACAGAGAGACAACATTTGCAAACAATTAAATTGTATATGCATATAATTTTTTTTTAAATATAAGCAACTCTTATATCGCAATACTTTTTTGAAAAGATCAGCTTCCAGTTCATTAGCTCTGCTTTATCTGGATATTTCAATTGAAACTAGACTCAACTTCGGCAGCAGTAGTTGGAAAAGTTGGTCGTCTGCCAAAATGGCTGTGCTGTTGTAGCAAATCTAACTGGATGTCAGATACACTGTGATCCTTTCGGCTAGGCCCGCATCCTGGCCTCCCATTCACACACAAACACACACATACATATGTAATGCCGGTGTGTGTGTGTGTATACGTGTGTATTTATGCATTTGTGGGTCACAGCCTGCATCGTCCGAGTGGACAGTGACGGAGAACGACCCTGGGTCTGGGGCTCAGTTCCAATGGGACATATTTTATATTTAATGCAAGACATTTGTCATGCGGTTGGCGCATTTATTCAAAGTATTTGCTGCAATTTTAATGCCAAAATGAAAGCGCAATTTCAAATACCAAATATACACGCATACATATGCGCATGTGCATATACATATAGACATGTATATGGACATATATACGAACATTGGACACCAAATGCAGCGAGTCACATTTTATGTGCCCTGCGCCTGGCTAACTATTTAAAAATGAATTTATGCGAACATCTGTATGCGTTTCATTTTGAAATGTTCTATTTGTAAATGTGTTGGAAGCACTACGCACAATATGCTGAGAGCTGTCTGATGTATATATACATGCATATATATATACATATATGTATATCTCAGGGAGATATATGTAGATCTAATATGTATTTGTAACATTATGTGGAAAAAAAACACACACACCTGTACTAAGCATTAAATATAATTATAACTACAATTTTGTTAAAATTTCTTTTGTTTTTTTTTTCTTTTTATCTTTATAGAGTTTGGAATTTGGCAGCTGTGTGTGACAAATTGAATCAATTTTTGCAAATATACAGGACATGAAATAAACAAATGAAACTCTTCAAAGACAACGCTACCGAAGGGCATCAATAAATAAATGTGCATATACTTGAAAATAATTTTTTCAGTATAAGAACAACAAAAAGGGAATAAGAAAAAACTAAGGAAAAACAAAAAAGAAACACACACACTCACAAGCAATCAAATTCTATTTTCAAATTGAATTTTAAATGCACTCACACACGAGGCAGTAAAGACGCTTGACTGTTTGGACGAGCGGAAGAGTGGAGCAAAAGAGTGCGGGCTGAAAGGACATAACGACAATATTTGCCATCAAAATCGAAATCGAAGTAGTGACATGGCAGCTACTTGTTAGCCAAACACAGTAATCAAAACTTGCCGAGCAGCAGCAAAGCAGCAGGATCCGGGCAATGCGAATGCCGTAAACAAGTTCTGGAAATATACGGAAAAAATAATAAAATAAACGGAAACGCAGCTTTCGATAGCCAACATCAAACAAACATTGCCGGAAAAGGGCCCAACAACAGGGGCACAAAAAACCCACACACAAAAAGAGAGACAGAGAGAAAGAGAGAGAGGGAGAGCGAGAGAGTGAGATAGTGAGACACACATATAAAACAATTGTGGCCCGAGTAACAATCATAGCAACAATCAATCAGAGTCCGAATCGTATATAGATTTCGTACCTGCATCTAAAACTAAAGCCGAAACAATACAAATAGAAATTCCTGTGGCGTTGACAAGTTAAATAGTCAAGGTCAACGGCCTTCCGCCATTCGGAGATGCCACAAATGTGGGCAACCAGCCGTTGCTTACAAACACCGTGCCGTGCCGCAGACAGAGGCTGAAAGACGTGCCGCACTCTCCAATACACGGCTAACGTCAAGTCTTGATTTCCGGCCAAGCAACAACCCTCCCCCCCTTCCCAGCACACACACATACACACACACAAGAGCACAACCCCTTGCCGCAAAGAACATTTTTTGATAAATGGCAGCTAGAGTAAAAAAATTTGTGGCAAGCCAAAAGTAAAAGTTTTCGCTTGCTTGCAAAATTGAAAGGCAAGCAAAAGGTGGCGCAGATAAGGGCCAGCAACAATAAAAACAACAACAACAATAACAACCGTCCCATCAGGAACAGAAGTGGCATTAGCAAGCGTCAGCCTCGACTTTGATAACAACAGCAACAGCCACAAAAAAAGAAAACCAAAAAAATAAAAAGAAAAAAACGAAAAAACACTCATAAACAAGAGGCAAAAAAGTAAGAAAATAAAAAAACAATTGCCGTTGAAAATTGTTTTCGTTGTCGTTTCGTTCGTCACCCTGTCTCCGACCCCGACTCCGACACCCTGAGCCCCGTCCGTGGTTTGGTTCTGGTGCTGGTTATTGATTCACTGTGGCACAGCACCCGCCGCCTGCTTACCGCCGCCACCGTCACCGCCGCCACCGTCATCGCCTGATCGATGCGCCATATGTCTGCCTAACGGACGCTGCCACTTTGCCACTTGGCCGCATGCCACAGGTTGATGTTGAGGTTGGCGCTTGAGTTTGAGTGCAACGAGCTTTGCGTTTGAGAGTTTGAGTAATTGTGACGTCACAACGTGATAGACACTGATAGCGACTGACGAATGCCAATCGAACGGGCTGTTTGAATAAATGAATGCCCTCAATTGGCTTTTAACTGCAAACAGAGCAGACAACGCCGCTGCCCAAGTTGAAGGCAGCAGCAGCAGCCGGAGAGCCATTCCCAAATTGATACACTCAACTAACCAAATGCGTCTGATTGTGGCCATTACGAGAATGGGCGCCCAGCGGACGCACACATCAGGCACAGCCTGTGCCGTCGCCATCAAATGGTGGCTGGCTTATGCCCTGGGATTTCTAATATTGCTGCCAGGTGAGTGAAAGAAATGAAATTACATTATAATAATAATAATCGACTAAGACCAGATATAAACAGCTGCAAGGGATTACTGATTGGTTGATGTCCAAATCTTTACAAAATTAATTACCAACACGCAGCTATTAAATTAAGTAGCCATTTCTGAAGTCTTCTTCAGGCCAATTGGCAACTGTTTAAGCTGTTATTTAAGCTATTTGTTGGTTAGTAATTCATTTAACTTTCATTAGATTTCTATTATTCTATATTCATTATAAGTTCTATACATAACAAATATCTAACTCCTGTTAGATCTGGGCTCAATTAAAAATATGACCGTGACATCCTTTTCTATAAAAAAAAGTCCTGCTATGAATTTCCGAGTTATTCTTTAAAAATTGGTCTGAATATGGATACAACTTGAGATTGATTTTGTTATAAATTCTCTACTCAGAATTTCCATAAGAAAAATGGTTTCTAATTTGACCAAAACAGTTTGCGTTGGGCTAAGGATAGCTTTATTGTTTGATCTGATTTCTTTAAATGTTCATAGTTGGACATAAACCAGCTAAGAATCTTGACTATATTATTATTTTTTTGCTGTGCATTAAACCCCATACACAGCAGTTCATTTGTAATATTTATTTCGATTCGATGGTAATTAACTGTTCAATTACTTACGAATTTAATTGGATTGAATAGCCAAAAAACGGCGACTGCCATTCAACTCATTTGCTTAAATATAGCGGCAATAATTGAACTTTAATCAATGCTAATTACACTTTACAATTGCCAATTAATTTAAATTTTATTAGCTTTTTAAGGCCGCATACATATAAATATATATATGTATATGACACATAGATATTCGGCTAAATCGCTTGGGGTTCTCTATTTTTTTTTTGCTGAGCCAAGTATATGCTGTTTCTGGCCATTTGGGCAGCAGCAAAAAGCTAGTAAAGTGCGGCGTGGCCCTGGCGAATGTTTATTACGTATACGCAGCGTGGCAACAAATTAAACATGACTCGCTTTGCGTTAATGCTGGGGGCGATGCTCGATACCACTCGTCGCACTGTGGGAGGCAACACGCATAGTTATTGCTGCTGCTTTTGTTGCTGTTGTTATTTTTGTTGCTGCTGCCATTGCTCTGACTGTGACTGTGACGCGCTGCCGGATGCTGATGGCTGATGGGTGATGTGAACGTAAATGTGTATGTGAGTCTGCTGATTCTGACGACTGGCAATTTGTTTATTTGATTGCATTTTCTGCACTTGTTGGGCGCAGGGGCTGGCTGGCGCTGGGTTGAGGTAGCGGCAACTGTTTGCCCGACTGCGCGCACAAATCAAAGTCAACTGCGGTAAGTGGAACGACAAATAAAGTGCACCCGTTTTATGGAAGCAACGAGTTGCTGCCATCGCTTTTGCTGCTCCTGCTCCAGCTGCAGCCTCCGCTGCTGCTGCTGTTGCGGCTCCTGCTGCAAGTAGCCTGTGGCCCAATACAATTGGAAATCGCTCAATGCTGACTGGCAAGCAAATTTTTGGATCCTTTACATACGAAACGAAGGACAATTAGATTGATGAACGTCGATCCGAGACACGTTGATTGCGGTGTCAGCAAGAATGTGAAACTCTTGCTACCAAAAAGATTCGGCCATAATGATAAGATTGATGAGCTTGTACTTGAGAAGATAGCATATACTTTATCTCAAGGATGCTTCAAATGTATGATTCCGATGATAGATGACAGCAGCTGCTAGAGATAAATGTTAGATACTTTAGCCAGATGATATAGGAACTATGAGTAGTTGGCTGCTGCTGCTTAAAACAGTTATTGTTATTGCCAATGTTTAGGGGACATTTGCATAAGCTTGACCCCGTGCTTCATCAAAATGCCGCATTCTGCAGCAGCAGCAGCCGCAGCATCTGGACATTTCTTTCCTCACTTTGCTCAGTGGCATCATTCCGAATTGCCGGCTTTTGTTCGTCGCATTTTAGTTATGCATAAAACAACTTCTGTGGCACGTTTCAAATCATTTTGCTTGAATGTTGTCACCGTCCCGCTTCACTCCAACCCCATCAGCTGCCAAAAAATCCCCTGAATTTTCGCTCAAAGCTACTTGGAAATAATTCTCGTTATTGTTGTTCTTGTTGTTGCCTTAAGTATTTCTGCATATTTCCTGTGTGTTTCTTTCAGTTTTATGAATTTTTGCTACACATGCTACAATTTTTGCCCACACATACAAACATGCTTGTATATGTTATATGAATTCCAGTCAGTTTTTCTTGTTTCTTTTGTCAGCCCGGTTTTATCTTTACCCATGCACAGGTGCATTTTTTGCGAGCTTACACACAAGTCCCCAACCAGCCAGACATTCACTTCCACATCCACATTTAAAGCCGCATCTACATTCGGGGGCCAGGTGCCAAATGCTGACCGGCTTCAATATGCATGCTAATTTTGGGCTCCCACTGACGCGTACAAAAATCCCGATTCCAGTCGCAGTCCCCCCTGTGCACACATACCCATTCGAATCCCTTAACCCATTGTCCATTTCCACTGGTTGCCTCAATTTGATTTTAGGCATAAATATTCATGAATTGCTGTCCATGCGATTGCGATATGTCCTGCCATGCCGTGCCGTACCTTGTCGTTCCACGCCGCGCCGCGCCGCGCCGCGCCGTGTCCTGGCGACTGTAACTGGAATTTATGCTGCCGGTCTTTTTGCTGATAAAACAATGCAACAAATTTCAACAATAACCATTTTCATAGCTCACAAAACTGCAATTCATGCATTGTTTGCCATCGAAGTGCCAACGCGTTCTATTGGAGTTTATGCATATGAATTGATATATAAAATGAGATCTAAAACCCATGGGAACATTGCAGTCAGACGCAACTGACTGCCTAATACTCTGTCTGATATTAATTTGCCATGCATCCAGTGAACGTAGAAATAGTTTTGGGCCGATCTCCAGAGTAGCTCGATCTTCAGTAATCTTACATAGTTCACTTCTGTGGCAGACATAGATTTGTTCGAATTGTCACGCCTTGAAAGAGTGCAATGCCAACCAATAAACTCTTTCCGGTCTGCGAGCGAGCATATGAACTATTTAATTAAAATAATAATAATAAAAGCTAATGCTTAGGCTTTGATAAGCTAACAAGCGTAAATGTTAAATAACAGACAGACTTGTATTTGCCATACATATATATAATATGTGTATATACACATTTGTATTTGCTAGTCATATATAGGCACATGC